ATCTCATGCAAAGCCTGTCTGTAACGTGTCCAGCACCTCCTCCAACATACTGTCCGCTGACCGCACCGCTGTTCAGTCGAGTGGCTGCGGCTCACCGCCACTGCCCAGCACCACGAGAGCATCTTTGGAAAAGCTCACGTTTGAATTACAGTTTCTACTACATGCATATTGCATTGTGTCATAAACCTGAAAATTTTTAAGTTGAGCCATTACGTCAGGGACCATCCTGTTACAAGGCACTTACAAAAGTCAGTCTCTTCTCCCTTGACCGGATGTAACGACTATTACCAAGCATTTGTACATCCTTTCAGATGCAGTGTTGTTGCCAGCATACAGATAGCAAACATACACACAAATATATCATAAATATGGAACTATATAATCACATGTATTTGCAAATATGTGTACATATGCCCATTTGCACATACACATAAAACTCACTGAACACGCACAGGCCAGGCTCTAACTCAAGCCCTCTCCGTGTATGATTTCATTGAACCCTTCCAGGAGCCCTGTGAAGTAAATACTTTACCCACTATGCTATGCTGCCTTTCTATGTCTTTGTTTTCACTACAGATGGTAGTACGTGTAGACACAGTTGGCTGCTACATACATTCTTTTTTTGGTCGGGGGGGTGTTTCCTGGTACCGGGAACCGAACTCACGACCTTGCGCTTGCCAGGCAGGCGCTGTGCCGCTGAGCTAACTCCCCAGCCCCCACACATACATTCTTGTAAAAATATATCAGGTCTGGGGATGTAGCTCAGTGGTGGAGTACTTAGCATGCCCCAAACCCCAGATTCAGTCCCCAGAATGGAAATAAATATCAGCATTCAGCATGTATAAAGATCCCTTTTTATTTTAATAGCTGCATATTTTCCCATTGTGTAGTGAATGTACTTAATCAGTATCCTATTGAATGAGCTGTTTCCAAGCTTTCACAGTGCTTCAGTGAATACCCTAGACACGCTCGGTCACACGGGCAGAATAAATTCGTCACATTGTCCTTTTGTATTTACATCCTCTTCCCTTCCACTCCCCCAACTCACAGCAACCACTAATGTGTACTCTATTTTTATCATATCAAGAACGTTACGTAAACACAATTACACAATATGTAGCCCTTTAAAAGGACAGCTGTTTGCAGTCAACATAATTCTCTGGCAGCTGGGCAGGTGGTTGTATCAACAGTACTTTTTCTTTTTTATTGCTGAGTAGTACCCCGTGGTATGGATGACCCCTGGTTGATTTAATCATGGCCCTGTTGAAGGGCATGTGGACTACTCCCTGTTTGGGACTGTTATGAATACAGTTGTACCTCAGTTCATGAACTTACGTTGCAGTTTGGTTGCAGCCAGGATCATGGAAAGAATTAGTTCATGAACCGAGGTGCCACTGTATGGACACTGTAAATGTTTATGCACAAGTTTTTGTGTGAGCATCAGTCTTCTTTTCTTGGGAATAAATTTCCAGGAATCCGATTGCCAGGTTATATAGTAGTTATGTGTTTAGTTTTAGAGATTTTTTTTCAGATTGACTGCACAATTTATTTTTATTTATTTGTCTATTTTTTGGTACCAGGAATCGAACTCATGACCTTGTGCTTGCCAGGAAGGTGCTGTGCTGCTGAGCTATATCCCTGGCCTTGTACAATTTTGTATTTCCAATAATCTGTGAATGCTCCAGTGTCTCTGTACCCTCACCAGCATGCTGATACTGTCACTATCACTTTGTACTTTTGATTTCTAGCTCCCTGATGCTTGAGGCTGTTCCATACCTCCCATGTGCTTACCTGCCATCCACATACCCTCTTTAGGTGAAGTGTTTGTTCACGTTCTTTTGCCCTGATCTAATTGGACTGTTTCTCTTACTGTTGAGTTTTGAGAGTTGTTTTTTCTTCTTCTTTTTTTTAAGTACTGGAAATCAAACTCACGGCCTCACACTTGCCAGGCAGGGACTGTGCCACTGAACTATATCCCTGGCCAGGAATTCTTTATATATCCTAGATGTTTATTCTTTGTTACACACGTGGTTTGTAAATCTTTTCTTTCAGTCTGTGCCTTGTCTTCCTCATAAGTTTCACAGAGCTAGTTTTTTATTTTCTTGAAGTCTAGTTTATCAGGTTTTTTTATGGATCATAGATTTGATGTCAACTATAAAAACTCTAGCTCTAGTTTCTGAAGATTTTCTCTTACATTTTTGCTAAAAGTTTTTTGTCGTTGTTGTTGTTTTTCTTTGAGACAGGATCTCATCATGTACTCCAGGGCGGTCTCCAACTTTATATGTAGCCCAGCCTGGCCTGGAACTCATGGTCCTTCCGCCTCAGCCTCCTGAGTGCTGGGATTATAGATGTGTGCCACCCTGCCAAGCTTTGCTATAAGTTTTATAGTTTAATGTTTTACCTTAAGTCTATTATCCATTTTGAGTTACTTTTGTGTAAGGTGTGAGACTTAGGTTGAGATATACTTTCTACCTATGAATGTCCACTTGCTCCAGTGCCATTTATGAAAAAGGGATGGGTGTGGTGGCACGCAGCTGTAATCCCAACACTCTGGGAGGCTGAGGCAGGAGCACTGCAAGTTCATATTTTTGGTTATGTGTTCATCCAGCTCCCTCATGTTCCTAGGTTCCTTCTTGTATCATTTCCTTTCTGTTCAGAATTTCTGACCAGTCTCACAAGAAGGTCTGCTGATGACCCAGTTCCTTCATCTTTTCACCTGACGTTGTCCGAGTCCCCCAGTGTCCTCAAGAACATTTTGATCGTGTTGGTTCTTGGGTGACCGCTCTTTCGGTGCCACAGAAAGTCTCTCAGCCTGGCCTTGAGTTGGTACCGAGAAGCCCGTCGGCAGGGTGGTCCCCCTGTGCTAAGGCGTCTTGTTTTCTCTTGCTGCTTTCAGTAATTTTCTTTTTTCCGAAGTGTAACCATGATGTTTTGGTGTGGATTTCTGGTCTGGTTTGGGGTTTGCCCGGCTTCTCCAAATGGCAAGTTTTGTCTCTTGCCAGACTTGTGACGTTTTGGGCATTGTTTTGCTGTTCCCTGTCCTACAGGGGCTCTGTCAGCACAAAGGTTAGGTCTTCCGTTATCGTCTCTTTTTCAGCTTATTTTCTTGTTAGGCTGGGTAGTTTCTATTGTTCTGTTCTTTGTGGATTCTTTGTCTCTTCTGCTCTTTAGCCCATCGCTGAGCTTTTTGTTTTGGTTACTGTATTTTCTCAAGTCTAAAATTTCCATTATATTTATGTATTTTACTTTGCTCAGACTTTCTCCCTTGCATTTATTTTAAATGTATTTGTAATTGCTCACTGAAACATTACATGTTTGTTATAAACGTTTTTCAATTGTTCTTTAATGGTACATTTTGCTAAGCAGGAATGTTCGGTTTTTATATAATTTAATATAATATAGTTTTATATAGTTGAATCTTAAATCTGGATTGAGTTTTGTAACCTATTTGGAAAGGCATTTCTTATACCAAAGTTATGAAAAGAAGTTTTTTTCCCTGGCTTTGAGGTTTTTCTCCTTTTTATGTTTAGATGTGTATGCCATCTGGAATTTACTTCGGTGTAAATAGGAGCAGGAATCTCCCTGCATCCCCACCCCCTCGGCTACCTCACCATCCAGCTGTTTACCATACAATGTGGATTCTGGGGTGTAGAGCAAGTCTTTCACCGGGTACGTGCTTTTTAGTAACTGTTCCGAACAGCTCAGTTCTGAACAAAGCCGTCTAGGGTCCTAGGGGCTGCACGGAGCAAACGCAGGTGTAGACTCCTGCTTTCGTTGCATTTGCAGTGACGCAGGTGCTCTGTGAGCCTGGCTCGGCCTGCGTGACACCCGTGAGAAGGGCGAACCCTCAGGCCTGCCTGGCCCTAGGACTCAGTTAGCGCCTGGACACAGTCTAGGTTAGGAAGCCAGGGTGGCTATGGCCAACTGGAGGGCATCTTCAGCTGCCTTAGAAACTTCCAGTTTTGCAGAGTTCTTCCTGAATGGCTGACTTGCTGAAGCCCACCTCGGCCTCTGCAGTCAGCACTCTGTGAGGGAGGAGAGAAGCGGCCTTGCGGGCTGCGAGGGGGTGTGCAGGAGGCCGAGCACGGCAGCTCCTCCTGCTCCGGGTCCTGGCAGCAGCGGTGCGGAGGCCCCACTGTCCAGAGGTGAAGCGGGCAGGAGTGAGGTCCGCGGTCCTCTGTGCCATCAGCCTGTCAGTGGGCAGACACAAAATGGTTTTCTCCAAAACTAAAATCGGGCATTGGGCTGGATCAGTGGTTTTCTTTTCTGAAACTTTCAGCAAATGGAAATGCACATACAGCCACAAATAAGAGCTTTCCGTGCTTGGAAACTCAGCGTGAAGCTGGCCGGAGCAGGGCCTCGGGGGCTGCAAGGCCCCAGGCCTCTCGGCCCTCCGTGTGCCGTTTCAATCTTTCTGACCCACCCGCTTCCCTGTGCACAGCGAGAACGCGGCCTGCCCGCAGAGCCGCGGGGCTGAGGAGATGCAGGCTTGACGGCTTCCACCAGCTGGGACCCAGGGTGCTGTGAGTGCAGGGGCTGCTGGTACAGCTGTGCCTCTCTCTCCCCCGTCGACACCAGCTCAGTGACCGCTGCTTCCTTCCCCTGGGTCCTGCTCTGCCCCGCCCCCCAGCTGAACTCTAGGTCACTTTCTGCAGTCAGCTGCGGTGCTGAAGGGAGCAGTCCTCCCTCACACCTTTCAGGCTCGTGTCTGGGACACAGGTGTCCACACTGCCGGGCCCAGTCCAGGATGCAGCGGGATCTGTAGCAAGGCGGCCCTGCTCTGCGTTCACAGCCATGTTCCTGAGGACAGGGAGGTGACCAGCCACCCTTGGTGGTGGCACCACTGAAAATGCTGGAGAGCAGGACACCGCAGGTGGCACCGAGCCAGACTGGGCAGGACCCTTGCTCCTGACCCACAGCGGCATCTACCCAGTGTCCACACTTCTGCTAGAAAACAGTCAAGGAACCGCCAAGCCAGAGACTCCAACAAGTAAGGCTGCTTTACGTTGTTTCTCATTTATTCGGTCTAAGTTGTACAGTTATGAAAATAACAAAACCAAAGCTGGAAGCCCAGGACAATTTACACTCTCGTGTGTAGTGAGGTCAGTCTATGTTGTTGCACAGATTGGTTATGTTTGGTACCACAAGATGTTTATAATTCAGACAAAATCAGATTAACAATTATATGTACAGTAAAACAAAAGGGAAATCATTCAAGTATCAAAATACAGAGACGAAGATTAAATAACATTTTTATTACAATTCAGTCCATTGCCACCGCAGGAACCACAGGGCCCTGGGGCCTGCGCTCTGCAGGCCTACGCAGGTCCTGGCGACGGCCGCTCTGCCTGGCGCTGCTGCTCAGGTCAGACCCAGACCTGAGGCTGGCGGTGCCGAAGGCAGAGCTGGCGGGGGCGAGGCGGCGAGTGGGAGCCCTCGCCCAGGGCGGCTGCCACGCCGTGACCTGCACGCAGAGCAGTGCGGGACAGGCCTTCCCGGAGCCTGCCCTTGCGGTCACACTGCCCCTTTCAGGAGTGGGGAGGGAGCGAGAGAGCGAGCCAGAGCCAGAGAGGTCCAGTCACTGTTCCTCCTCGAACATTCGAAATAAACCAACCTCAGTCTCAAAATAAGACCCAGAGCCAGCGCAGACTCGCCAAGGCTTTCCGACAAGAAAACACCCTGAATAAATAATGGAGATATAGCAGCTTCAAGGGGAAATGCCTACATGTGATTTAAAGACAGATACAGTGTGAGGAGCTCGTTGTAGTGTCTTAGTTTCCCGGGACTCCGCCCGCCTGCAGGGGCGGCTGACCCAGCGGCCCCAGACTCCTGCAAGGATGAGCTGCGGGACCCTTACAGGCCAGCGAGGCGGGCAATGAGGTGCAGCCTCAAGGTGTCAGGGCCCGTTAGTACCTAGGTTCGGAGGACAACCCCTGCCTCCAGTATGGGGGCTGCACCCCAGTACACGGGCACTCAGCCCTCCTCCCACTCACTGCGGGCTGCACTAGAGGTTGTAAAAGCTCTGCACCTGGGAGATTCCTCCTGGGACCCGAAGGAGCAGGCCCAGGGAAACCCCAGGGAACAAGGGACCACCCCGGCTTGACCTCACTGCCTACAGGGCCAGCTCCTTGTCCTTGAGGCAAGAAGGAAGCCCCTGTGGCTGAAAGCAGAGCGAGCCGGCAGGCAGGTTACGCAGGGGCCAATGCCAGGACACCAGCCTGCCATCAAGGCCACAGCTTCGGGGATCAAACCAACTGGCCTCATCTGGCCTCTTCCACGCCGTGAGCCAGGGAAGAGCCCAGCAGCGGAGAATACAACAGTCATCCCAGCGATTCGGGGACTCAGAACGGCCTCATCACACAGACCTGACCAGGTGAGTCACAAGGTGGAAAGTGGCCATGTCTGCCGGCCTACCACTCATGCCCAGAACAGCTGCCCGCTCTCCCTTCTGACTTGCCACCAACGGGACTTCACTGGAGCAAAATCGCTTGGCAGCTGATTCCAGGGCGCGCAGCCTATCAGGTGAGCCGTGGAGGAGCTCCTGGACCAGCCCTGGCTTCCTGGCACCAAGAACTATTGCTTTTCTCCAGGGGGCCACCACACCTTCACATCTGGAGCCCCGGAAACAGACCAGAAGTCTGCTTTGGTCAGGTGTCTGAGGCTGTGCTCTTACCGAAGAGCCCGAGCAGCTCCAAACAGGGACCGGAAGTCGGGCAGTTTGAACAGACGCTGCCTTGGCGGGGTCTGAAAAGCCGCCTCGCAGACACGCGCTCAGCCCCGCCACGCCTGCCCGTCTCTGCTCCCCACTCTGAAAATGGCTGTGCGGACTACCCTGCTGGCCAACCTCCGCTCCCGTCCTCCGACCCCGTGATCGTCTAAGGATTGGCAGTTTACCTAGAGCTTTGAGCCAAGTGTTAAAAGTTCATTTTATAAAAAAATTTTTTCGACTAAAAACATGTATTCTGGACAAGTCACGTCTTGACCTTCTGCAGTTCCAGTCTCATCGGCCAGGGGCCAGGCTGCGCCTGGGAGCAGGGCCCGCGGGCGGGCAGGGCCTGGTCTTCGGAGCTGCAGCCCGCGCCGCGATGGGGGCAGGAGCCTGCGCTCCCCACGTCTGTGTTTCCGCAGCAGGGAGGCTCCTCGTGGCTCAGCTTGGCAGAAGCAAACAACGGGGGGAGGACAGGGTTACAACAGGGCCAGGACAAGGCGGAGGAGACCAAAGGGCGCACAGAAGCAGGGCAGAGGGTCCCTCACAGCCCCCCGGAGCGCCCGCCACGGCCCGGGCACCTGCTGGGGAAGGCACAGGCCAGGTGGGTGCCGAGGGCCTGCCCCGGCTCTCTCCCTGCTGCTGATGCTACCACTCTGGCTTCCGCCCGGGGGGTGCTCCCTCTGCACGGCTTCCTGCCGGAGCCTCGCTGTCCTCGTCACTACCCACCCTGCTGCTCCAGCTCACAGCCCCGGGGCAGCGGCTGCTGGGCCTATCTCGCGCCCCACACGGGGAAGGTGGCAGAAAGCTCCGGCGGACTGCAAGGTGTGGCCCAGGCCCCTGGCATTCCGTGAGGGTAGAAGGTGCTCATGCAGGGCACAGGCCTCCCCCAGCTGACCCTGTAGGGCCGCGGGGTACAGTGGTGCAGACGGAAGGGGCTAACCACATTTGCATCCTAGTGCCATGGCGCGGGTGGCCTGCTGGGACCCAGGAACCTGCTAAGCAGCCAACATGTGCCCACCGGCCTGGCCCAGACCTTTGGCCCTCAGAGCAAGCAGTCTGCCTAGGCAGGCCACGTCACTGGGCCGAGGGCCTCCGCGAGAGGCCAGCACCTGGGAGCAGCCAGCTGTGAGCGGGGCGGGGGCTCTCCCCGTGGTCACAGCGGTTGGTTGTGTCAGGAGGTGAACAGTCAGCGCGTGGCCCCAGCCGAGGCTCAGGACAGAGACGGGGGTGCGCCCACCCTCAGGGTCCACAGTGCCTGTGCAGAGGCTCCCCTCAGTGCCCACCTTAAAGGCCACTCGCCCCCCGCCGTCCTCAGCCCAGGGGAGGATTCACAGTGTTCGGTGGTGTAGGTAAAGAGCTGTGAGTGTGGTGCTGGCAGCTGCTGCGGGGAGGAGCGCGGGTCCCCACGGAGCGGGGCGAGGCCCGGGCCGAGGCAGCACGGCCGGAGGAGCTGAGACAGCAGAAAGCCCAGTGGCAAAGGCACAGTGAGACTGGGAGACAGGGCGGGCTGTTAGAAGATAGTGGTCTCATACTTGGTGCTGAGGCTCCGCTTAGCGTCTGGCTTTGGGTCCACAATCCAGGAGACACTGGCATGGGACGGGACCTCCTGGTCCGTGTCGGGTGGTTCCAGCTGCCAAACAAGGGAGCAGGTGACAAGTCAGGGCGGCTCTGCCCAGGGCCGGGAGGTGAGCCGGCACCACCCCGCAGCACCCTAGGCACGGCCACCTCCAGGGACCTCTCCCAGGGAAGGGGACCTTGCCCCGTGGGAGCCTCCTGCTCTAAGCCCCGACCCGGTCCGGCGGTAGGCAGGGACGAAGCGCCTGGAAAGCCCAACGCCTGGCTCTCCTGGGAAGCAGAGGGCTCGGCCCGAGGCCACAGCTGTCATCCCAGGCCACTGAGAGGGACGCGGAACAGAGACAGAGGGTTGAGCACACAGGGAGGGCAGATCGGAAAGAACAGAGCATGATGCGGGCAGAGGGAGAGGCCCGTCAGAGAGCTCACGGTCACTGCAGGGACACGGACACACAAGACAGAGGAGGCGTAAAGACCTTGACTCCGGGACTAACGGACGGCAGCGGAAGGTAGGAAGGACGGTGGGTGGTGCAGGTGTGACAGTAACAACAGCGACTATCGGGGGGCAGCGGCACCTGGGGTGCAGAGCAAAGCAGACACAGACGCAGGGCAGTGTCACTGGGGCGCGGGGCGGCCACGCTCAGCAGCCCCGGGGCGGCCCCGCGCTGGCCTCGCACTGGCCTCGCACTGGGTGGAGCCTGGCGACGGGGTGGGGGTGGGGGAGGAAGCCCCTCGGGCGGCCCGGGCGGCCCTGTGCGGCACAGCTCTGCTAGTGGGGAGACCCTCGGCGCCCAGCCTCGCCCCAAGCCCTGGGCCGGCCACCTACCGCGGACTTCCTCACGGCGACCCGGGGCTTAGGCACCGGCTTGGAAGCTCTTGTCTCGATCATCTCAGCCACGGTGGTCCCCATCGGCCTGGACTTCTGGGCCTGCAGGGCCAGCTGGTAGGCCACCTCAAACGCCTGGCCCAGCGTCAGGATGATCTCGTACGTCAGGTTCTGGAGAAGCAGGTCGCCAGCCGCGTGAACACGGGGGACAAGGGAAAGCTTTGAAAGCACAGCTCTGTTCCCGCGCAGGTGGTCATCAGAGACACCCTCAGAGCACAGTACGCTTCCTACACGACTCTGACAGAAACGTGGGCCAGCGCAAAGCTGGGGCAGCGGGACCAGAACTCCCCGCCCGTCCCGCCGCCGTCGCACAGCAGTTCCTGTGCGGGGACGACACGGAAGCGCCTCAGGCTTCCTCTAGGCAGAGGGCCACGTTTCTCGGGGTGGTTAAGGGCTTCTTAACGCCTTGTGAATACACTGGTGCTGACGTTTCTGTTCAGGTTTTTTCTTCAGATGCGCCACGGGCAAAGGTGTAAGTGCCGGTGGACCCAACCGCACTTGCCCGCCAGCCGCACGGCTTCACTGTGTGATGTGTCCAGCAGGGTCCCGCGGGGGCGGCACTCGCTCGGTGTGGCACCGTGAGCTACGTGGCGGTCGCCACGGACCATGCTACTGCAGCTCAGAGCAGCCCCCGAAGGCTGGGTGCAGTTAAGGGCAGAGCGGGGTATCTGAGGCTGGAGCCTGGCTCCTGACCCCACTGACCCCGCTGACCCTGGACTAGCAGAGGGCCGGGCACAGAGGCTGCAGTGACAGGGGGCTTCCCAGAGCCCCCGAGGTTCTTCCCTGAGGGTGACAGGGACCTGGACAGGACTTGCTCCAGGGTGAGGACCCAGCAGCACCAAGCCCGCCTGGGCAGTGCCCTCTGCTGTGGGTCGTCCTGCAGGGCAGCTGCCCACTGGAACTGTGGGACCTGGGGCAGTGGGCAGGAAGACTTGGGGGCAGAGACCTTGCCTGACTTAGGGACACTCAGCCAAGAGCTGCAACCCCATGCTGCAGTCTGTGGACACTGGAAGGCACCGGATGGGACGTCACCAAGCTTCCTGCCCGAGCCAAGCAATTGCCAAGGGCAGCCAAGGGCTGGGACAGCAGGGCTGAGGCCATACTCACCACGTCCACTGTGCTGAAGACGTGGCAGTAGTGATGGCTGGTCTGCAGGTCCTTGGTGATATAGGCGAAGGTGCACAGGTCCTCTGGGTCCTGGGCTGCACAGGAAATGTTCCGGATCTCGTGCTCCGCGATGACATTCTGCCGGGGAAAGAGTGTTCTGGACTTCTCGGGCCCAGCCCCACAGCCGCCTGTCTTTGCCTCTGGCTAGGGCATCAGCTGACCCCCTCTTCCCCATCCGCCTTTGTCCACGCGGGAGCACGAGCAGCAGGGCCGCGTGCCCGCCCACTGAGGGCACGCACTGCCGAGCGCTGCGAAGCCCAGGGACTTGTGTGGAGGACAAGAGCCACAGCCTCAGGACAGGGACCCCGCTTCCTGGCAGGGTGGACAGGAAGTGAGGAGGAGATGAAGGGGCCCAGGCGAGACGCCTACCTTGTTGGAAGCGTCGATGAACTTGACCCCTTTGTACGTGATGGAGAGGATGATGGTGGGGATCTTCTTCATGTGCTCCGTGGATTTCTACAGGAAACAGGGTGCTCTGAGGACGCCCCTTCTGCTGCGATCCCCCAGGCCAGGGCCCCCCGTCCTTCTGCAGTGACGCGGCCAGGCGACCAGACCTGGTGCCCCCTGGTGCCGCTGCCTCTGCCCTCTCGTGTCCCACCTGCCTGCCCACCGCAGGCTCCCCATAGCCTACCCGCATCTTGGCACAGGCGTCTTGAGTGGATTCTGTCCCTCGAAGGTCTTTGATGAGCATGGAGCCCAGGTACTGTGGGGCGAGCAGGGGCCAGGGTTAGAGGTCCTGCACTACCATGCGGGGCGACCCGCACGTTCAGGTGGTCACCTCTGATGACTCCGCCCTCCTGTCCCTCCCCAGTGCCCAAGAGTGCGGCACGGCAGAGGCGGGCAGGGGCAGGGAGGCTAGGAGGGCGGAGCGACTCACGTTGGCCTCGTAACCACAGGACTCAAAGATGAGCTTCTCCGGCTGGTGCTGCCAGCTCTGCACGGGGGCGTAGGGGGCGGCCAGGCTGGGTGGCCGCAGGGTCAGCTTGGCCTCACGGGGCTCTTCCTGCAAACGTTGCAAGAGTCAGGTGTGCTGTGGGGCTGCAGCAAACCCCAGGGTGCAGAAGCCGAAACCTTGGAGAGGTCAGGCGCCAGGTACTGGGGTGTGTGTGTGCGCGCGCGCTGTGACACCAGAGCAAAAGCAGCAGGACTCAGGCCAGCTAGAGCAGCGCACCAGGAAAGTTCTGTGGCCCAAATCTCCGAACAGGTGGGGACATGAGCTGCGGGAGACGCTCAGTGCAGGCAACACAGCTGCCAGGTCCCCCATGACGTCCCCGTCCCCGGCAGAGAACGCTGCAGCCAGGAAGCATTTTCAGTGGGTCCTCTGGCGGCAGCAGGGTTGGGGAGGGACGGGCAGGGGGTCAGCAAACACTGCGGACGCTGGGCCTGGGCCTGTGCAGTCTCCAGGCAGCAGAACTGGCGAACGATGCACTTTGGGTTTTTAAAGTTTGTGGCAATGGAGGAGCACAAGTCTGAGTCCAACCCAAGAAACGGAGAGCCTGTCTCCAGACACAACGCATACAAAGGCCGTGGCTCGGCTCAGCGGTAGTGTGTGGCCTAACGCGTGGGGTCCTGACTGAGTCACCAGGACACTGCTGGGGAAAACCACGGCTGCCACCTGGAGGCTGTGCTGCGGACGGGCAACCCGAGGCTGGTGGAGAGGAAGGTGGCGACGTGCTTGCCAACCTGGCGTGAGGCGGGACGGCGTGCAGGCTGAGCTGGGGGCCAGGCAAGTCCTGAGTGGAGCCAGGAGCCCCACAGCGACCCCCAAGAGGGTAAAGTCGGGATGCCAGGTGGTGCCAACCCAGGGGCTGAGGGCACCAGGGCCAAGGGGGGCGAAGGGCTGTGCAGTGAGCAGTGTCTGCCTGGCCACTGCAAGGTCTCCAAGGGGCAGTGGCAGCAGCAGGGACTGCGGCTTGGTTGCGTGCTGGGTCGGGACTCAGGAGGACATGTCTCTGAGGACCAAGGGGAGGGCGGCTCTGCAGAAAGCAGGGGCCTGGGCCCGCATGGCCTCGCCCCGGCACTGTGCAGGGGGAGGGGGCAGGTGGCTGCCTGCCCCAAGCCTGCCCAGTGGTGGCGGGCAGAGGGCAGCACATGGCTCTGCGGCCCGGCCCGACCCGAACCAAGACCCACCACGCCCCTCCGGCCCACCTGGACTCTGAAGCGCTCGGCTCGAGATGGGGCGGCAGGGTCCTGAAGGCTGTCATGCCGCCTCCGGCTTGTGTCCCCCAGAGGCAGCAGCAGGTCTGCCGACCGCCCGGTGCAGGAGTCGTTCTGGCTCAGCGGGGACGAGGTCTCGGACAGCAGGTCTTGGCACTGCAGGGAGACGGCGGGTGAGACTCACGCTGAGGCCAACAGCGAGGAGACACTGGACAGGGGGTACGAACGGCAGAAGCCTGGGCAGCCAGGGCCCCCCACGGTCACAGTGAGAGCTCCATCCTCCACGCAGCCTGGGCTGTGTGCACACAGCGGCCCTGGACGGCAAGGACTCGGGGCCTGTGGCCACGTGCAAAGCCCTGTCCGAGGACACTGGTGGCTACGTCTGCTTCCCAGACCAAGGCGGGGCCTCAGCATCCTCGAGTAAGAGGCTTCGGGACTGAGCAGGATGAGGCACAGGCAGGAGCCTGGTACTGGGCCAGGCGCCAGGGCAGGGCCGCTGGGTCACCTGGCCTCATGGTGTGCTCCACCTTGTAGCTGGGCAAGCACGTCCTGACCTCTGGGCTGAGTCTAGATACATCTTCAGTCCAAGATCAGCTGGCTTGGCTTGCACTGCATTATCTGTAGTTTTAAAAAATACAAGCCCTCTGCCAGACGTGGTGGCACTGCGTTCGCAGCTACTCGGAAGGCTGAGGCAAGAGGATCACTCGAGCCCAGGAATTAAGCGCCAGTGTCAAATTTAAAAAAGTCCTCTTGGCAAACTGCCCCGGGGAATTCTAAATCCAGAGACTTGAAGTAGGCAGAAGAGGCTGGCACCTGCCAGACAGAGACCCCAGCGTTGCCTGGCTCCTCCGGCTCCCACCCTGCCTGGTTCTGCCGCCAGGTGCGGCTCTGAGCTCAACAGCCCCCCATGGCCTGGAATCGATTTATTTTAATTCTACTTTCTTCTTTAATCGGGTCCTTCACTGCAGGCCATCCCATGCACCCCGGAATGTAAATGGGGCCCTGCAGGAGCAGGCAGAGACGGCGGTCTATGGCACAGCCTGGCTCTCAAGTCCCTGAGGCCGGAAGCAGCAGTGACTGCCCCTGCCACTTACTCGCAGCTGGGAAAACCGTGGCGGCTTCTGCGGCGGCTCCTCGTAGGGCCTGTCTGCCAGGGAGGCGATGATGCGCTTGCGGTGGCCCAGCAGGTGCACCTTCAGGACCTGCAGCGCGGGGCAGAGGTCAGCGGGGCAGAGGTCAGCGGGGCAGAGGTCGGCGGGGCAGAGGTCGGCGGGGCAGAGGTCGGCGGGGCGACGGGGCCAGTACAGGCAGGCCGGGGCCAGTACAGGCAGGCCGGGGCCGGGCTGCACTCACATTGACCAGCTCCAGCTCCCAGAGGTTCTTCACAGTGTCAATGGAGCTGTAGCCACTGGACAGGAAGGAGTGGACATAGTCCTGCAGCCCCAGGGAGTCCAGCCAGGACGGCACTGATGGGGGGCTGTGCCCATCGTAGCCCAGGGCCTTTACCTGCGGGCAGGAACGACAGCTGGGACTCAGGTGAGGGCGGGGACGGGGCTTGTGGGCCTGGCTGCTCCGTGTCTCAAGTTCTCCCCAGGCAACCCCTCCTGTCACTGCTGTGGGGGGGGGCAGCCTCCAGGGCACCCCAGCCAGGGTTGGGGGGCACAGAGGGGGTCACAGGCCTGCAGGGACCTGAGAAGAGGACACTCCCTGAGCGTTGGGGAAGTGGAAGGGTCAAGGGGACGCTGGACTCGGCACCAGCGCCATTGAGGGGCTGAGGCCCGGGGCCTACAGCTCCTATTGCCCCAGGCCGCTGCGTCCTCTGCCACCTGCCTGCCCCTTCCAGGCCTCCCGGGTAGGACCAGCCCTACGAGTCGGGCTAGGCTCATGGGAGTTGGGCAAGACCCCAGAGGCCACTCTGGTGCCAGGCCCGTGGCATCAGGCTCTGGACTGAGGACCATGGCACCTCCCCTATCAGCCCCTCAGGGTGGTCACTGTCCACAGATCCCTGCCGGCTCTCCAGGGGCCCCAGGACTCCAAGGAGGCAACGCAAAGGCGGCCTGCTAGTCCTGGGAGGAGGGCGGTTGCCAGGCCCAAGTGCTGCCAGGGAGACGGGGGTGGTCACCTTGGGTAGGGAGCGTGCAGCCTGGAGCAGCTTCCGCCGGTGCTGGGGGTCGCTGATGCCGATCTCCCGCAGGTCCTGCTCTTCCATCACGTTAGGCCCCTGAGAGCAGAGAGGAGGCTGTCAGGGCCCACAGAGCTGGCAGCCAGGCAGGGGCCTCCCCGGCCTGTCACTGCGCTCTCCTTCCACGGGACACGAGGGCATGGCGCAGGGGCTCCAGCGGTACTGGCCTGGGTGAGAGACAGGTAGGGGAACGGTGTCCCCAGGCCCAGGCCCAAGCCCGAGCCTCTGTGTGCAAGGCTCGCTCTCCTGGGGAACAGGACTCCCAGGTGCAGTCTGGGACTAAGGCTGTGACCACCTCAGTGGGCAGCTGGTGACAGGCAGGCACCCACGGAGCCTGCTCCCCCAAGGACGAGGGCCCCCGTGCTGGAGTGCGCGGCACTCAGCGCTAGGCACAGTGCAGTGCTGGTGGCTGATGGCCAGCGCTGTCTGTGTGCTCACTCCTGAGGGACAGGGACCAACACCTAGTACGTGGGTTTCCGCTTCACACCACCCTGTGTGTTTGGGTCTCTTAATCCTTATTTTACAGATGGGGAAACAGGCACCGAGCCCACACATGTAGGTGATGGAGCTCAGCAGCCTACGTCTCCTCCAGCTCCCCGCCACTGCAAGGCCGGCTCCGCTCCAATATCACCAGGGCCATTTTCAGACCGAACTCGCAGGCTCCGCCCCACCCTTCCCCCAACCCCTTCGCAGGCAGCCGCGGCCAGCCAGGCGCTGGCTCCCGGACCACTCTGTTCATCTTCCAAACACAATGGGTTCCCGCTGTCACCTCTCCTTGAGGTGCCACGCTCGAGGGCGGGCTGTGCACAGCACACGCAGGCCTGCCTTCCTCTCCAGCTGCGGAATCCCGGGTCAGGGAAGGGCTTACGAACCGGATCCCTGGGCAAGGACATCCGGGTCTGCCTGGGCGCCCCCCACAGTGCTGAGCCCCACATACGGGCGCTGTCTCCAGGCTGGGGTCAGCAGGGAGGCCTCCGCACAGGTGCCTTACTTAAAGTTCCGGCAGATGTTTCTGTCCCCTCAAGGGTGTCAGTGCTGCGTCCCCCATGCCACCGGCTGTGCTGGGGAAATGCGGCCTGTACTACAGCTTCAGCTGGCAGCACCAGACCCTGTCTGGAGCTAGTACCTTAGCATTTTGCTTATCAAACACCTGTGTGGCTCCTGCAACAGCAGCGGCCACTCCTCTCCCCACTGTGCCGCCGAGGATCCCCAGGCCCAGAGTGCTGGGAACCCACTGAGGGCACAGAACGGCATCAGCCTCATCCCCTCCAGTGGCTCAGCCGCCGCGTGCGCGTGGGTGTCCAGAGCACCTTTCCCAGAATCCCTTGCCTCTGCTCTTCATGGAGCTCCTTTCCCAGAATCCCTTGCCTCTGCTCTTCATGGAGCCGCTGGCCTTTTCTGCACAGAGCTGCGGGCATTCTTCAGGTTACATGTCTCTGCAGTGAGTTAGACATGTTCTCTCAGTTGGTCATCAGGTTTTGACTTTTATGTTGGTTCTGCTGGGGTACAGGTTTATTTCTTACACCTGAATGCATTCAACTTTCCTGTACAGCTTCTCGGTTTAGTCAAGCTCAGAAAGAGCTCCCTTTCTCAAAATTTTTCACGTTTTCGTACATTTCCTTCTGTAATGTTTTGCTTTCTACAGTTAAGTCTTCAACACATCTGGAATTTATTCTGATGGAAGGTTTGAGTTAGGATCCAACCTTATTTTTTTCCCAGGGAACATGTCGCCTGCCTCTTCAGTTCACCCTTTCCTCTGCGCCTGTGAAGTGCAAGAAATTCCCGTTTCTGGCCTTGCTGGTCTCCTGCGGAAGGCATCACCTGCCCTGTCTCACGTGGACAGGGAAGTACAGCTGGGCCAGCGTGTGGCCCATTACACAGCGGCCCCACTGTAGCCAAGTTACGGTGACATCTCCTGCGGAGCCTCCTGGGGCCCGTGTATGGCGACAAGCACTGTGTCACAGAGGAAGCAGCCAGCCATCGGCTCAGGAGAGCCAGACGCCCAGAGCCTGTGGCCAGGCGTGGGGCACGTCCCTTGCAGGGCATGCAGAGGCCAGGGCACCACTGTAGGTCTGCAGCCAACTCCTGGAGCTGCCATCCAGGTGTCACCACCTCCGTCACTCTGGGACCCAATCTAGGATCTGCCGATGGAGGAAGGCAGAACAGCAGCCGGCCGCCGAGACTGCCCACCTGATGACAAGGACACCTAAGTGACAGGGACACCTGAGCCAGGGTCTGGGCCCAGCGGGCCAGGAAGCTCCGGGAGGAAGTGAGCGTGCGAGGGCAGCACAGCGGTCACAAGCCCAGCTTTCAGGGCCACAAGAACGCTGACCGGCACTCTCCTCCAACACGAGCCGCCTTCGTCCCGACCCTGTCGCAGAGCCGAGGCCACCTGCAGCGCTGAGAGAGGGCAAGTGAGAGAAGGTGAAGCAGGGCCCGTGACGGGAAGCGAACTCCGGAGGCTGTGAGAGCACATCCTGGGTGCAGGGCAGCCGTGTCCCTGTCCGGCGGGATTGGCGTGTGTGGTGACAAGCGGGTGCGCATCTCAGAGGGCAGACACGGTTCTGACGTCACCGGGGCTCCGGCTAGGGTGAAGGAGTGTGTTCCCCGCATCCTGCTCCACAGACAAGGAAGCGGGCCACAGCTACAGGGGGAGGCGAAGCGGTGCCCGCAGGCTGCTCCCAACCCTGCTTCCTTGCCCAGGGCTGCTGTCCGGAGCTTGGGGAGGCAGGTGAGCAGCAGTGACCGGTGAGCTTCGAGAGGTGACACATCCTGCCCCGGGCTCAGGTAAAGATGCAGGCCACCAGTCTGGGGTCCCGACCCCGGGCCTGCCCAGCGCTGGGCCTTCCCACTTGTGACGGAAGTTCTCCCAGTAAAGCCCCGAGGCAGCGGCTGCCCACATCTCCGGGAAGCAGCAAGGCTGGGAGCTGATGCAGCCAGGGCCGCAGAGCTCTGAATGGCAAAGGATTTCCAGGCTCCTCCCACCCGCTTCGTGGGGGCTGCGGAAGACAAGAGTACCGCAGGAAACGCACACGGAATCTGCCCCACTGCCTGGACCGTACTTCTCCTGGGCCAAGGCCACCCTTTCTAACCTGCAGAACCCAGTTCTCAGGGCCGAGCAGGTGCCTGCGGATGAACTGCTCATCTTGGAGGTGTGGGTGGGGATGCCAAGGACTCCTGGTGAGGGCAAACAGGGCAGGAGTTGGGCCGGGCGCCAAGACAGCGCCTGCAGGTGCCTCACAGGGCCAGTGTGATGGAGAGGAGGCTCCGGCCGCCAGGGCCCGGGAAAGGCAGCGCGCGCTGCGGTATGCATGGTTGTGCCAGGGAGTCCAGGGTGGGGCACACGCGGGCAGTGGTGCCTGCTGGTGGCTGTCGTTCCTTTAACTTCCACGGCCAGTTCATGTGTGTGCTTCGTCCTCCCTGCTGGGGCCTGTCACTGCTCTGCTGCCAGCACAGGCCCTCCACAGCCCTCCCCCGTGCAGCTGCGGGAGGAGCCGCCTTCGGCACCTCCAAGGCATCTCACAGGCATCTCACGTCAGCACTCCGCCTGGCTGCAGCTAAGCTCATCACCCGACAAACAGGAGAAAGCCTTGGGAGGGGCTGTTGGGGTGTGGGGACATGTGGGAGAGGCCCCCCACTTGGCCAGTGGGGAAGAGGGCTGTTCGCAGCTGTTTCCGAGGGACTTGGTCTGTCCAGGGCCAGGCCCGACTTCCCCTCCCGGGCAGCAGTTTGCTCGAAGGTCCTGTGCGTGTGGCAGGATGGGCAAAGAGCAGGGCAGAGATTTCTGACCATATCCTCACGACTCTGCCTCCTGCACCAAGCAGGGAGCCTGGTGGGAGGGGACGCCACTGCCCCAGGAGGCGGCGGAAGGAAGGCCGAGCCACGCAGTGCCTGTGGCTGGCTCCTGGCTTGGGCTGTCACCGCTCTCTGCAGGGCAAGGCGAGGCCCGGTGCAGGCACCCAGAGGCCTTTCCCCGTGCAGCCTCTCCCTCCACGCCACTCAGTTCTCACGGTACCAGCCGTGTCCCAGGGTTCAGCTCACTTCCGACACTGCCTGCCTGCAGGTGGTGCAGACCCTGCAGGTGAGGGCTTGGTGTCACAAGGCATCCCTGCTTCAGCTGCCACCCGGGTCCAGCGGCTCGCCCGTGCTGGACACTGAGCACCCACGCACGGCCCAGGCGCTGCTCAGACGGCTCGCGTCTCTGCACTCGCACGTGCTCTCTTATGAAGGACGCACCTCCCATGGCCAGACAGGAGAGAAACGGCAGGCAGAGGGAAGCACACGGGGCCTCGCGCCGTCTCAGGGCCACTGCCCTTCCCGTGGCGCCAATGCAGCAGCTTTCCCAACTCCGTCTACGTTCTGTGGACACCGATGGACACGGGCCGCCCTGCCAGGGATAGGTGGGAGGACGGGAAGGCCCAGGCCTTTGACCACTGGTCAGCTGCCCTGTGCCCGGCCCCATCTGGAGGTGACCCAGGGACCCAGCCTCCTTTCTTTACTACAGGAAAGGAAATCCCAACAGTTTAGGACCTGAGTGACAGGAAAGACCAGAAGTTCCAACATAGATTTAATTTTTTTAAGGTGCCAGGGATTAAAGTCCCCTGACTCAATGCCACTGTGTGGCATCCTAGCCCTCGTTTTTATTTGTCCTGTCAAGTTGCTCACTGGGCTTGAACTTGTGATCCTCCTGCCTCAGCCTCCAAGTAGCTGAGACTGCAGGCGTCCTTTATATCTTATAGCACACTCACAGCCAGGACAGGCAGTGGGTAGGGACATCTGGGTGGAGGAGGGTACAGAGTGAGAGGGACTGGGACCTCAGGCCCTGCTTGAACGTGGCAGAGAAGCACTGGAGGGTTTCACAGAGGGAGAGGGCAGCCCAGTCCTGGAAAGTTCCAGGGGCAACCTGGGCTGTGGGGTGGGGCAGAGGGGGTGGTGTCTGTGGAGGCCCAGGCTGCTGGGGTCCCGCACAAGGTAGAGAAGCGGCAGGAGAAGAGACTGCCTGAGGTCACACAGCCCTGCCCTGGCTCTGTCTGGTCCCCAGAATGGCTCTTTCTCGGTCCATGTGAGAAGACCAGTGCAGTGAGAGCAGTGCCATGGCCACCAGGGACCCCTAACCTCTAGGCGCACCCCCCCCGCCCCGTGGTCCCACAGGACGCAGCAGCCGCTAACAACATGGGGGTGGGTGGGAGGCGAGGTCTCGTGTGTCTGACCCCACTGCTGAGATCCAAGCGCCGGGTAGCTCAGCCTCCCTCAGACAAGGCTCTGCGCTCCCCCAAGGGTGCTTCATGGACCTGGGGCACAGGTGACCTGGCGACCAGCGATTTCAGGGAGTCGGGCTCTCCTGTGCTGGCCAAACAGCTCTGTCCCTGCTCCCCAGGAATCTCAGAGCCACTGTGAGGCCAGGCTCCAGCAGGCTCACTGGCCCTCCCTGGAGAGCCGCCCACAGGGAAGGGCAGGTGAGCAGATCTGGAGGAGGCAGGCAGGGTGGACAGGGGTCCGCGCAGCCCAAGATTCTGCTACCCAACAGGCAACTGGCATGGGAGAGCCAAGGGACATCCCAGGCCCATGTGGGCTTGTCAGCCACGGGCGGTGCCTCCCTGTGCAGTGCTCAGGGCACCTGGCAGCTTCTGCAGCGCCACCTTTGCCCTCGACCGGCCCTGGCCCACGGCGTCCTCGCTGTCTGCACTCTCAGGCAGCCCAGCCAGGGCCTGTGTCCCTTGTCTCATCAGTCCCTGCCCACCGCCACTGGTCTGTGCAGGTCCCCCTGGGCTCAGAAGCCACGCTGATCTTCCAGGGAATTGATGGGAGAGTCACACAGGGCTGCTGTGACAGCCACTGCCACAGAGGGACAAGTGCCCACCAAGCCACTAAGGTCCCCCTGGCGGAGCCACTCTCCCTCCGCTGGCCGCCCACCCCCCATCCCGGTCTGGGTGTATTAGCACCGTTGAGAGGCCCGCTAGAGGGAAGAGCACATCCTGTCCTCCGCACACGCAGGCTGGACGGGGCAGGGCTGCGTTCCCACCCAGGGCACCTGGGAGAGCAACGCTAGTGCACACCTGCTGCAGCCGCCCCGTAAAGGGCGTGGCGAATGCCCTGGAGGCAGCGGCTTCATCTCAGCCACCTCCACATGGCCCGCGGTGTGCACCTGCAGGTTCTGCACCCACTGCCTCGACACCCTGGACAGGAAAGTCGGCCCTCGGTACTCACGGGCTAGGCCTCAGTCCCCTCCCAGCGCAAGACAAGGTTCTGTACCACTGGCGGCAAACGGACGGCACACGTGCCACAGCAGGCTGCCTGTTACCGCTGAAAGCTCTGACAGGTTTACCATCACTGCTCTCCATACAACAGCACGCGGCTGCCGGTAACCTGTGCACGCCGCCCCTGTGCTTTAGATTGTCTCTAGGTACTGCCACACCCCAGCGTCCACAGTGACATCGTTACCTGTGTCGTTTACTGCTGCATTGTTGGTTTTTACTTTCAGATCTTTTGTCCCACGCCTGTGGAACCCAAGGCGCGGAGGGCTGACTACAAGCAGAGAAGCGGGAATGCCGCCGCGCCGAACGCGTGTGCTCTGCCCCCTTGTCGCCCCTCCCTCAACAGTGCAGTGGCAGTGCGGGGCTGGTGGGCCTGGGACTCGCGCAGGCGGGCGCCGGGCTGGGCCCTTCGAGGCAGGCAGGAGTCGGACAGGTGAGGACAGCTACCGAGGCTAAGCACCCAGCACCGAGCTCATCCTGTCTTCCCTCAGAATGCACAAAACTCAATGGTGACAGCTACTATCAAGAAGAAAAACCACCAGTCCCAGCTCCGGACGTCTCCGTGGTAACTCGTGGAAGCTGTCACCTTGTGGGAAGGGCTCTCCCGGATGGAGGCAACGGCACAGGGCGACACCCCCGGGCCCTTGTTTGGTGTCCCTGTCAGCTCTCTCCGCGCGGAGAACGAGTCTCAGAAACAGACGGGAGGTCGGCGGCAGGGCCCGGGGAGGCGTGGAGGGAGGAACGGCGCCTCCCGCATCAGCTGAGAAGCCACAGCTCTGCTCGCGCCCGTCCCACACCTGCGCAGGGCGCTTTCCATTTCCCTTCCTCACGGCCCGGGCGCCCAGGCACACATCTCGCCCTTGGGCACCAGAGCTCAGGCGCCTCTGGGTCTGGCCCAGGCCACCTCTCCCCTGCCTTCCCCGCCTCGAGCACCTTCCCGGCCCCGTGCTCCGGGCTGGACAGCTGGCCGTGTCCTCGCCGCCTGCGGCCCTGCGCTGCTCCCTGCTCCTGCGGCCGGACACTTGGCTGCTGCACTGTTTTTACTGCTTTATGATCTTTGTTTTCCCAGCTGGACCCTGACTGTCCTGAAGACAGCGCCGTCATCGTTCCTCTGGCTTCACACTCATTCATAGGCGAAGGAGAAAACATACAGCGCTCCAGAAAGCACAGGGAAGCCCCTGAGAAAAGCCGGAACCGCCTTGCTCGTGCCCCGCTCGCACCCCGCACCTCCCGCGCAGGGCGGTTTTCTTTTTGCAAAGTTGAGGTCACACTGTGGGAACTTTTCGGCTCACCTGACGCAAGGTGATTGTTTCCCCACGCCAGTGTCGCTGCCGGCACCATGTCTCCAGGCCCGCCCACCCGGCCTCAGGACCACCGCTACCTGCGCAGTCCACGCCTCAGTGGAGGGGCCAGAGCTACGCAACAGGCTGCAGCTGTGCAGCCGCAGACCACCATCGTCTCCCGCGTGCTGAGAGGCGCCGTCCCTCCTTGCTCCCAAGGAAGCACACTTCCTGCAGATGATGTGGTGCAGGGGCCTGGCCACGCTCAGGCTGGGTCGGTGGGCTGGCTGGCTGCCAGCTGGGCAGCCGTGTCTCCCTGCTCCAGTGTCGGGCCCTTGCACCGGGGCCCTGGTCCTGCAATCGGCCATTTCTGGCCGCAGGCAGGAGAGCGGTGTGGGTGAAAGTCGAGCCCAAAGCTTCTTGCCAAGCTCAACCATTGTATCATGGACTCACAGCCGAGAGCCAGGCAGTGCTAAGCTCAGAGGGGGCCCAGGAGCCCACGACAGAGGCCTTCAAGTTTCCACAGCCCCCAAACTGTCCGCGTGGCCCAAAGGCAAACCTAAGACAGGGTCAGAAGCCACAAGGAAATGGGTTCTGACTCAATATAATTGACGCTCTCAATCAGCCAGCACAGCGGGGCACCGTGGCGCATGCATAGCCCCAGCTAGCTACTCCAGAGGCTGAGGCCTGAGGATCGCTTGAGCCTAGGCATTGGAGACCAGCCTGGGCAGCGTAGTGAGATCCTGTCTCAAACACAATCAACCAAAAACTGAGCCAGTGCAAGGCATGAACTAATGAATAGGCTACTGCCTGGTAATGCAGTGATTCTGCCACAGGGAAGACCACGGCCGAGGTTATCCAAGAGGGACCCAGGCTCTGAGAGGGCAATCGGACTGCATGACGCCCAGGTTGCTTCACCGTGAGAGGGAGCTGTGTAACACAAGCGTGCGGTCGCTTTCCTGTCACAGGGAAATTCCCAGCGCATCTGTAGCTGCTCAGCATCTGGGAGAGGTGTCTCCAGGGCACCTCAGAACCAAGGGAAACCTTTGCAGCCTACACAAAGCCACGCTCAGACGCAGACCACAGCTGCCGGGAGGGAACTGATACCACGTGCAAGAGCAGGGCTCGGTGACAAGGGGCTCCCTTCCCACTCAGGGCCGGCCCACCCCCGCTGCGGGTTCTCACCCTCCCTCAAAGAACATGGTGAGTCAGGGCTTGGGGGCACAAGCACCATAAATATACTCAGTTTGACTTAAAAAAATTACATTGCTATTTTAAAACTTACGTTTTTTAAAAGCTGAGAAACAACTGCCCTCGCTGACTTTGGAAGAGTGGTTTGATGTGAGCGTGTGTGCCCCAGGAGGGAGAGTGCTGGTGGGGGGCTGGAGGTCCCAGCAGGGCGGGCAGCAAGCCCAGCCGTCCACAGAAGCCTGGGACTCGCCGGGACGCGGGGCGCAGACAGGGGCCTGTGCTGACACTGACCCCTGGCCTCAGCGAGGTGGCTGGTAGAAGTGCAGAGGGGGTCTGCACGCTAGGCACAGGGACAGTGAGGGACAGGCCTTCCGGAAGCGGGCAGGACAAGGCCTCGGGGCTTGCCAGGGTCACCTCAGACCCGGCTCCCCAGGACAGTCATGCGAGGTGACCACAGCGCCACACCAGAGGGGCTGTGTGACGTGGTGCTGCAGGGTGGCCCCTGGGCCCAGGGAAGTCACACTAGCACTGCACCGCACTTCCCTCATGGGGCAGAAGGGGCTGAAAACGTCGTTCGGGCCCAGGACTGCTGGAGGTCACTGAGCAACTCCACGCACGGCACTGGGAAGGGCACCGAGAACAGCACCCGCCACGGTGAGCAGTGACGCTCCTTGCAGTGGCCTGTGAGTTGCCCTTAGGGCAGGGTGTCCAGGAGGGGCCCATGAGGGGCGCCACGCCAGGGCCACTTCCGACTAACACTGGACCCTAAGCCACAGCCTCCACCGGGCTCCTGCTCCATAGGGAGCCAGGTACAAGACACCTGAGTTTCCGCTCGCTTTTCTAACCCCTTGCGTTCTGCCCAGGAGCACACAGGCCGTGCGGCCCCAGCCTCCGCCCGGGGCACCTGGCCTTGGCCGGGCAGGGCAGGAGTCTGCCTCAGTGACAGCTTACTTGCCAGAGATGCTTGGGGAATAAAGGGAACTCCTGGCTTCCCAGAGTTGGGGTGTGGAGTCACCGCAGGAGAGCTGGCTGCACTGTCCCCGAGCCCCTGGGCCCGGCTCAGAACAGGCCGGCCCAGGAGCCTCACTGCCCAGCAGTGGCCTGAGGTCGGAGGTGGGCGGAGTCTGCGCGGTGCCCACCGAGAAGGTGGTGACACCTGGTGGCTTCCAGCTCCCGTCAACTCTTCCCTGGAAGACAGGTCCATGTGCCGTGTCGGCTCCGGCAGGGCAGGACGGGGCCCTGGCACTTACCAGGAAGCGGACATCGTCAAAGCCATTCAGAAGCAACTTGCTCTCATACTGCTGCAGCCCGAGGGCCTCCAGCCACTCCCCGACGCTCTGCTCCAGCGTCCGCGAACCTGACGAGAGAGGAATCGGCAGACGCTTGAAAAGAGAAAAACCATTAAGGCGGTAGCAGCGGCACTCAGAGGAAGACAGATGGCACTGCCACATCATCGTCATTACCATAAAGCAGCCAAACTATGTACAAGAGGCCAGAGAGCAGCGCGCACGCAGCTCCTCTTCCCTGCACAGGCCAGGTTCGCAGCCTGGCGCTGCACACGGCGTCCCCACTGGGGGCCGCCCACTCACAACCGGCCTGAGCTGCTCCGGCCGCGCACACGCTCGGCCTCGCCCACCGTCCCGTCTCCGGGTCAGCTCCTCCTCAGCGGTCACACCGAGGCCAGCGCTGCAGAAAGTCTGTTTCCACGGGCGCTAGAGGGGCCGGAGGAGCTGCCCAGTGCTCGCAAGCGCAGCAGCTCCTCTCATCCATGCAACTTCTGGGGCCCCGCGGGGCGGCGGCGAGGGGCAAGTCCTGTGACCTTGCAGCACAGACTGCTCAGGAGACAGCACGCGTCTTCATGCAGCTGAGGGACAGGCACACAGCGAGGCTCTGGGAAGGAAGCGGCGGCGGCGGCTCATGGGGACCCAGCACATGCAATGCAAGCGGCATGGGACACAGCAGGGCAGAAAGGAGACTTTTACTTGTTTTCCCCCAGCAGTCTCGGAATAAGCAAACCATGGCACCGCCCTTTGTGCCCGGAGGCTCGTGGCAGCAGGGGGCCGAGTAGGCGCACCGGTCGGGGCACGGGGCTTGGGCTCAGCCGCAGCTCTGCTGGGGTGGCAGCATCCCGTCCGAGGGCTGCAGCCAGCCGGGCCAGGGCCCATCCGGCTAGACGCGTGGGGCTGACGAGTGGGGCGTCTCTGGGGCAGGGGCTCCAGCTGGAGAGCTGCCTCTCTGGGTCGGACTGGCTTTCAGGGGCCGGGCATTCATTTGCTCTTCTCAGAGGAGCTGCTCCTGGGCCTCCCCGCTGCTCGGGTAGGCAGATTCAGTTCTCGGCCAAAGACAAAACCCCACCAGACAGGAGAGGCAGGAAGCCGCCCTCTGTCGCTGCGCGGTGGCAGCTCAGGGCTGTTCCAGCTCTGCACTGCTTTCTCTCCCCTCGGCGCAGCGATAAAGACACAACTGTCCTCCCGGGTCTCCGGATCGCCACGGGCTCCTCTGCAGATGGGCAGGCAGGGGGGACGTGAGCCGGTCCGCTCCTCTCCTGGCCAGGACCAGGCTGTGGTGGTGCGGGGGCGGGGGTTCAGCCTCGCGGGCGGCCCCTGATGTTCAGGCTGAACGCCTTAGCTCCCCTCTACTTCCTGGGTTCTCGTTGGCAAGAAGGGGTAAGAGGCGCAAAAAGAGGTGCAAGGAAGGAAAAAGAATAACCAACTACAAAAAACATCACCTCCAGCGAACTCCTGACATGCTGAGAGTCATCCTGTCCGTCCGGCACTCTCTGCCCTTCAGGGCAGCACAATGGCAACTTGCTCGGTGTTCTGAGACCCGGGTAACCAACTATGGCAGCCTCCGCCTTGTCCTTGTCTCTGTAGGACAGCTGGTGGTCAGCAAGCTGGGTGGCCTCTGGTCCTGGGCTGCAGCAGCACTCCGAGACGCTGAGGCTGGGGCGCTCAAACGCCCCTGAGGTCCGGCGGCCCTGGCTGCCGATTCATCCCTGCTGTGATCCCCGCTGGCCGGGAGCTGTGGTCCTTCCTGTCTGCGCTTGGGAACCGCAGCAGAATGCTTTGTCTGAGGCTCCGGGGCTCCACGCCGCCAGCTGCCGGCTCCACAGTCCTTGCTCACTCTCCTGATGTCTGGCCCTCCCCTTCCCCCGCCGCCCTCCCCTTCCGCGTTCAGGGAAATACATCAGGGATCGGACACCGGAGCCATCACAGCAGCGCTGCCGCTGCCCCGCTGAGGGAGGAGCCGGTGTGGCAGCCTTGGGCAAGAGGACAGATTCCCCGTGTCTGATGCACATGTAAAGGGGGCAGGGGGACACTCTGCCCCGGGCTAAAGGGGCTGGAAACCCCAGGTCAGGAATAATAGAGGGGCCATTCCTGTAGCTTTGGTCGAGTTTCTAGGACAGACAGGGGAGGGGACAGAGGAATGACACTGCCCCAAGGGCCCAGCCCACAGGTAAGTACCCCGCCATGCCACTTCGGGGAGGACCAGGCAAAGCCATAAAGCCACCGCACCTGCGGCTCCTCGGGCAAGTCCACCGAACAGCAGGTGGACATACTGGGGTGGCGCCACGCCCAGGGCAGGCCAGTGCAGTGTGAGGAAGCTGCGGGGGCTGGGGGACAGCCAAGGGGGACCAGGGCGGGCCCCAAGTACTGCAGAAAGGTCACACAGGTCCAGGGAGCACACGTCAGTCTCCACAGAGCAGGAGGACCTCTGAAAGGGCTCTGTGCCTGGGGAGACGAGGCCCCCACAGATCTGCACTCAGCAGCCACTCGACACCGAAAGCAGACGCAAGCCGTGCTGGCGCCTTCTGCCTGGCAGAGCAGGCCTTTGTTGAAAAGAAGCCACGGTGGCTGGGTGGGTGGGAACCTCACCCTCCCGACTCAGTAGTGAGGACAGATGGGTTAGTGGCAGACTCCCAGATTTTGGGTAACCTGCTCCAGTGCTGGGGTCCCAGAGCCTCCACAAAGGACTGGGACCTGAATGCCAGTGGTTCTGCCTTTCGCTGGTGGACCAGGCCAGCCGCATCGTCACTGTCTGCTGGAAGGTCTGCGCCTCCTCCTGGCGGCCAGGACTCTGGCCTCTGCTCCGTCCTGAGACCAAGAGCAACTGAATCTGAATGCTGACCATTCGAAAGAAACAGTACTTCTGCTCTGGTCCAAGCAGCAGCCTGGCGCTCCCTGGCCCGCCTCTCCATGCTCCTCAGCCCGGCAGCGGTGCAGGGGCTGCGAGGCGGGGCTGTGCCACGTACCGGACAAGCCCTGTGAGGGGGTCACCTGCGCGTACCTGGGGGGGAGGAGCTGAGGGGGGCCGAGGCAGCTCAGCTTAGTAAGCACTCAGGCCAGGCTGTGTGTTGGGGCCCAGACACCCTCACAGGACCCCTCTCCCCATGCCTATGGCATCACAGGGGCAAGGATGGGTAGACGGGCCCGCACAGCAAGGAGCTCAACGCGATTGCCCTCCAAGCAGCTCCTCCAGGAGCCACATCTCGGGAAGCCCAAGCCCACCTCCACAGGGCTGCACGCTCAGGCACACGTGGGTATTTCTGTCCTGCTCCCTGGACGGCGAGGGGAACAACGAAGCAGTCGGCCTCCACTGAGCTGACAACTCTCGGTCCCATCCCTGACTGTCCCCAACGCTCAGCCCTCTAAGCGGTATTGCTCAGTTCCAACGTCCATCCCAGTACCCGGCGCTCGAGAAAGCCTGCAACCTTGAGCACAGCGTAAGACCGTGGGACAGCACGTGTGCCACTGCCCGGGAGCGGGTGTCCCCCCTCTGACTCACCCAAGACCGACACAGACAACCAGACCCAGCCCACGCCTCTGGGAGCCCCAGGGAAGCCTGGCGCTGGAGGGTGCGCTGCTGCAGGAGCCAGACAAGATGGGGACAGAGATAAGTGGGGGAGCAGGGGCCCTGTTCTCTAGGTTCCTCGAAGTGAGCAAGTAACAACTCTGGACACACAGGGCACAGCTGCTGCCTAGAGCGCCTCTTCTACCTTCCGCATTCACAATGCAAGGGGCGGGGATCCTTGAGATCGGTGACTCGCCAGGAGGTGCACGTATGCACCTAGAACTAGGATGTGAACCCAGGGCCCAAGCTCCAGCCTCAGGAGTTCCTTCCTCCCAGATGTGCGCCCCGCGCCCCGCCTATCAGACTCCCTGCAAGGCCACAGGGGCCAGGAAGGCCCCGGAGGTGCTGCTCGAGGCTGCCAGGTCTGTCCTGGTGAAGCATGCTCATCAGCGCGGGCGTGCAGCCTGGTGCCAGGACTCTGGGCAGATACCCCAGGGGCACCAAGGCTGCTCTGAGAGGTGCTCCGTGCATGTGCCCTCCCCACACTGTAGTCACAGTAGCGAGGGTCCGATGGCCTGGACAGCCCTGTTTCCCACAAAGCAGGCAGAGATGGACCTCACCCAAGGGCTCGGCCGTGAACGACCACAGCTGCAAGGTGTGGACGGACACGGTGGGTGACAGGGATGAGGAGGAGATAGCACGGCCCCTCTCCAGGTGATGCCAGCGCAGGTGAACAGGTGGGGGCCGCTGGTCCACCTGATAGCCACCCAGGGAGCTGGGGAGACCAGCATGGAGGCGTACCCCGGTTTTAGCCAATCTGAAAAAGCCTATGTTTATAAGAATGTGAGCAAGTGACAATTGCTCATTAAGATTTTTTTCATTGGCAGCCTCCAGTTTAATCCACGCACTTTCCCCTCTACTGAGCAGAGAGCGCCATGGTGCTGGCCGGAGAGTGCACGCAAGTCTGCGGCTGCTCCTCCGGCTGCGTCCTGGGAGGAGGTAGAGAAGCCGCAAGGGCCAGCTGTCGGGCTCCTTGGGGAGGTGGCTGCAGGGTACGGTACCTGAGATCCTCTGCTGTTCCTGAGAAAAATCGATCCCTTCTCCAATTGAACTCATGATCTTCTCAATCTGAAATGGAGAAAGAAGCATCAAGCTTGGGTCAGCTTCACCAGCTCACCCTCTGCCTGCAGGCTGCACTGCTGGTCTCTCTTTCGCCCCAGGTCCAGCTCTACCCCATGAGGGACCCCAACTCTCCCATGCCCAGCGCTCGGCTCTGAAAGAAGCGCCGAAGTGACAATCCAGCCCAGTGGCTGAGAGTGCCTAAGAGCCTCCCTTTCTGGGCTTTTATCGCCCCAGCCCCGGCAAAGATAGTAGAGGGTGCCTCACAAGCATGTTCCACTGGCCATGCGGGAGCTGAACCACCCTGAGAGTAGAGGCTGCCAGCTCTGTGCCACACTATGCCCCAAGTGCCTAGAGTTGTGCCTTGCAAACCATGAGCAGGAGACAGATAAAGGACATGGTGCAGCTGCTGGCTGAGGAGTAGACCAACAGAGCACCTGCACAGGGCACCCCTTGGCAGCTGGGGGAGATGGCCACTTAGCCCCAATGGAAGCCCTTAGCTGCCCTGGACAGAGCACTGCACTAGGGGCAAGGTGCAGACACGCATCCTTCCCCCGGACCAGCGGACAAGGGTAGTCCTGAGGGATCCAAATGTCCCCAGCCCTGTCCTCTATATGGACCACCTGGCCCAGCCACCTGGCTTTGGTCGCCCTGAGCCAGATCCAGGACCCCTGTTCCAGGAAACCTGGCCAGGGCAGGACCAGGCTGCGAGGAGGAGCCACTGCCTTCTCCCCCACCTCTGCTTGGGCTGCAGTGATAATGAGCTCATTCACTGCTTTTTCCAAAGAAATGAAGAGAGAACCTTTTGTACCAGGGCTTGGATGATTTTTCCTCTAAGTGCAAGTAAGGAGTCCGAGTCTGACAATCAGAAAAACAACTGTCCAGCCAGCCTCCAGCTGGCAGACGAAGAAGCACATCTGACACCCAGCAGAAGAGCAGGGGGCGGGCGCAGGAGCTCGGAGGTATTTTCCTCCAGCCACATAAGTGACCGCTGGCTCACCGTCATCTGACTGCCTGTCAGCGGATGGTGAACTCCATCCCTGAGCTCAGCAAAAGCACAGCAAACACAACCAGCCTGAGCCTGGGAGCGAACGGGGGCGCCTCTACCTCCTGGCGCCAGGGGCCCAGACACAGGCAGCAGCAGCACTGAGGACACGCGGCGCGGGGGCCACTGCCCCAGAGAAAATGCCCCCATGTCGCCTCTCTTTGGCCCTGCCCATTCCAGGAGCTGCAGCACAAGGAGACGACCCCGACAGACAGGTAGCGCTTCAGCCCCGCAAAGCCTGGTATACAAATGGGGACGGATACAGCCTTCGTCCAGAGCAGTACCTAGCCAGAGACCCAGTGCACTGCAGATGCTCAATACAAGTCTGCGTACCACTCTCCTGCCGTCCTCTCAGTGCCCCAGACTGGTGGGATCTACACTGTTTTCAGTGCCGGGCTCAAAGCCAGGGCCTCCCGCATACCCAACAAGAGCTGAACCACTGAGCTGTGTCTCCAGCTAAAGATTAATTTTTAAAAAATATTTTACTTATCGTTCAAAATGCAAAAGGTACAAAAGTTATTCAGTCAACAGTCTCTCTCCTACCTTTGCCGCCTAGTTCTTCTCTCTGGAGGCAGCCAATGCAATCAGTCTCTTACGCATCCTCGGTTCTACCCAAATACAGGCAAAAGAGCAGCGGATTCTAGACAGCCCCATACCAGCAGACATTCAGTGTGTGCTGTTCAGCATCTTGATTTTTCCACTATAACTTGGAGTTCTTTCCAAAGTTCAGAAAAAAATTTGTTTACTAAATTTTTACATCCATGTATGGCTATATCATATGTAACTGGTGCCCCAACAGGTATAAGGGTATTTTTCAATCTTATCCTAAACTGTGCTACCATGCACATGGTTCTGGAGACACCTCCGTACCCACTGCAAGTCGTCTGCAGGACGAGCTCTTTGCCTTTCTGGAGCGTGCCCAGGCCAGCGTCCGAACAGTCAGCAGCCGGTCACAGAATCCCAACCCACGCCGCGCCCAGTTTTGCTAACGGCCTCCTGGAGATGGCACGCTTGCTAAGGCATCCAGCTCAGCCCATCTGCAGGATGTGCCTATTCATTTATAACATTCATAACATTTGCCTTTTTAGAGACTTACGCCTCTGCTGTGACATCAACACAGCTGCACCCCTTTTTCCTGGGGGCACCTCTTCCACTGGGAAGGCTCAGGGGTGCTTGGCTCTTTGCTTCTGGGCCAAGCTGCTGTGCCAGCTGGAGGGTCCAACTCACTGCACCATCCATGACAGAGCCCAGCCAGCTCCCCAGGCCTGGGACATTCAACCAGATTACAGGGACCTCGGAGCTGGGCGAAGAACAGGTACATGGTGTTAAGGATCTGCTCACTCGCCTTTTGGGTCCTTCTCAAAAGCAAGTGGAGAGAAACAGTAGGGTATTCAGATGAGGGGACGTGTTGCTACATGGGGAAGGGGCCAGGCCCCATCCTCTGAGCACCTCCTCCACTCAGCAGGGCGTTGGGGGAGCGTATCTGTTGCTGGCACCTGGAGAACTGGAGCCAAGTGTCCTGGGCCTGGCGCATGGTCAATCATCAATCCACTGAATGAATGAATGAATGAATGGTAGTTTCCAACTACACGGACCAAGCAGTGGAAAAGCTTTTTTGTTGTAAGGTTGTGCAGAGCACCAGGGGTAGAAAGAGCTGAACTGGAGGTGGAGTGTGAGATACAGTCAAGACATCTACATTACCCATGCAGCTCACCAGCATCACAGTCACTCAGCCCAAAGCCCCGCTGGGCCCGCCCAGTCACTCTCCCTGGCTGAACTACTCTGAAGATTGTGCCAGAGGGTCTTTGGAAATCAGAGTGCAGAGGTGAACGCCCTGCTGCATCTCTGCTTTGCTCCTCCCTGTCTGTTGCCAGAGTCACCTGCAGGTCCACTCCAATGGGCAGCGGAATCCCAGGTTTCCTCAGACTGCCCCTTGGTGGTGGTAGGGGGGCCTCTGGGTTGCACTCCAGCCTGGAGATGCTAATGGACACCATCAGGATGATTCTACCCACCCTAGGAAGTGTGTTTTGTTGTTCTGGGAACTGCTGCAGCTTGCTCAAGCTGAGAAGATTGCAGTTGACAGAGAACTTAGCAACTGTTGTTGTGGGAGCTTAGGGCTAAAGGGGTCCTGTGTGGCCAGAAGTGGCCACGCCACTGGCCTGGCGCCACCACAGCAAGGCTTCTGGGCCAGGCAGCACTCCCAGCCCAGGCTGCAGAGATACTCAGGAGCTGGAGCTCATGTCTCCTTGCCCTGTTCTGACTTTTAGACTACAAGCAATCACTCTGCTCTAGAGCAGACACCATTGTGACCCGCACACTTCACACAGTTTAACTTCTGAGGCTGGAAAGGAAGCGAATCTGATCAGGCTGCTTCTGCATCAATGCTCTGCTGCTGGGGGAAGATGAGGCAGAGGGGTGGGCTGGAAGGGTACAGCTTACTGCTCTCCTTTGCTGTTGTTTGGATAAGCGACACTGTTAGAGGAAAGGCAATGCTTTAATAATGCGCTTTTCATGAACTAAGAGAGAAAATGTATTTGTGTTCCTTATGACAAGGCCCTGAAGGTTGCTACCGTAATGGCTTTTTTTTCTGAGATGGGGTCTCACTACATAGTTCAGGCAGGCCTCAAACTCATGGTGACCTTCCTGCCTCAGCCTCCCAAGTGCAGGGATTAAAGGCATGTGCCACCACACCTGGCCCATAATGGACCCTTGTATTCAAAAAATGCTTGGAAATGTTCCATTTTCAGTTAAGTAGGATGACTCTATTGAGCTTTTCTCCTCTATCCAGTTGTATAAAACATACTCTCCATACGGCTGAAAATAAAAGCAAAAACAAACACTAGAGATGCTACTGCTCAGACCATCTGACATCTGCATGCTGAGCCCACAGGATCCTGACTCCCCGCAGGCTGCTGCAGGAGGCGGCTCATCAAGGACGACGGGGCCTCCGCTGCCTCCTCCTCCTCCTCCTCATCCTCCTCCTCCTCCTCCACCACCTGGCTGCTGGGCCACTGCATGCCGCTGGAATTTTCAGTAAATACTGGGCACTGGGGCAATGGGCTGCCAGCTTCCCCAAGTTGTCATGAGCTCTGTGTGCCAGGAAGTGAGGGAGGCACAGTCCGGGAGGACTCCAGAAGAAAGGTTCAGCCGGGCTCTGCTCCCAGGGGTGTGGGAACTTCCCATCCAGGAGGCAGCAGAACCAAGCAAAGGCCAGCACTCAGGGCTCCCTCAGAACTAAACACCAGGACAGCAGGAGTCAGTCTGTTCTTTGTGCCTAAAAGTTGGAGGCCTGGAGGGGAGGACGGGAAGGCACTGCCCTTCCTGTTTTCCTCTGTGCCATTGCCAATGAGAGAACACACGCCTGCCACTCACCAGCGATGGGCTAGCTCCTGACACCTCATGTTTCCTCCCAAGCCCCTTTCTGCTGCCTGAGCAGCTGTGGTTGCCTCAGACCCTCCTGTCCTTGGACCTGTTCACAGAGCTGGAGACACCTACTCTGCGTCTCCACCCTGTGGTCATTACCCAGTGGCCCAGAGACTCGGCTGTGCACTCACTTCCACAATGCGTCCTGGACACACGCAGGCACTGTTAAAGGCAAGGCCTGTTTCCCATGTGTTCCTCTTAGATCCACTCTGTGCCTTCCATAGAACTCCGTCCTAGGTGTGTTTCGCCACGGTGACAGCCACCACCTGTTAAATGATCTCTCCAGCCTGGTCCCTAACCCGCTGGTCACTCTAACAGAGTAAGAGGAGACAGGCAGTCCACAGGCTTCCAGGCCAGCCTGGATTCGCTTCATTGTAAACCCCATAACTCCCAGCGGGCCACCACATAACAGCTCTTTTCAGGCGAGGCAGCTGGAGCCCACAGCCGACCCTCACACTACCTGCAGATGGCACTCCCCTCGCTTCTGCCAGGGCCACCAGTAAGCACCCAGTCCTGCTCCTGGGGACCAGCCTCCTGCCGC